AAGTTCTTATGTTTTCCAGTTTGAACAACCAAGATGTTGTAGCTTGTTGGTCGAAGGGAGCATGCGGAGCTTGTGCGTCCTGTGTTCGATTCCCATCGGATGCTTTATTTTTTTCCTCGAAAAATAAAGTATCTAGCGATCTATCGGGAGGTCGAACGTGGATCGGTCGATGCGGATCGTGCATCGAGCGAATCGTGTGTGTCTGTCGCTAATGACCAGTCGGCAGGTATTTAACTTTGTCGTTGAGTTAATAAGGTGTTTTTTTCGTGAGAGTTAATAAGGTGTTACCAACGCTCAAGAAAAAGGGAGCGGTGGGACCACCAAACATCCAAGCCGAGCTTAAATCGCTGTGGGTGGTTATAGGTGGCTCAGTTTTACTATTTCTTGTATAGCAAGGCATGTTGATTGATTGATTGAGAGACTCTTCCAAATCCATTTAAATATCTTGATAAAGTTGCAATACAAATTCCAAATCCTTATAAAAAGATATTTCTAATCCAAACACAGATGAATTGGGGTAAGTATTATCGCCGTGCATGTCGGTAAGATAGTGTTTTATAACCGCTTGATTACCCGGTAGCCCTATATTAGCTGACTACTCTTATTTAGATAGAGAAGACAAAATACATATCGCTATAAATTTTGCGCACAAGCACGGTCACAGCTTGGTCAGTTGGAGGACGTTGATGGGGTTGACGAACGTGTGGTTGCCGGCGAACAGCGTCTGCGCGGCGATGGTGGACACGGCCTGCGTCGGGTGGTTGGCGTCCCAGAACAGGTAGCTGTCGCGGTTGCCGCACAGCGGGACCGTCTGGTTACACCCTGACGCCCCGAACGGCCCCTCGCCGCAGCACGCCGCCTGAAGCTCCGTGAAGCCTATAAGAGCAGGCCGGCAAAATCACAGTTAGAAAAGATCCACGGGCTATTTGCACAGGCAAGGAGCCGTGCCAAGGCGATTTGCTTACTCCAGTCGTTTGTGTGTGGGTTGGCGAAGACGAAGGAGACCATGGTGAAGGCGTCTCCGAGGGAGTAGGCCATGCCAGGCAGCTCGTGGGCCAGTTCCTCCAGCATCGCGGACAGCAAAGGGTACGACTGAAGCGAGAGATCGTTGAGTGGGTCGAAGCAGCCCTGCGTGCCCATCTGCGCCAGCCGGCGCAGCCTCTGCGACGGAGTGCAGCCCAGCGGCGGGATGCTGACGATGCTGAACTTTCTCGCGCCCAGATGGTAGAGTGCCTGAGCAGGATTGTACAGGTTCAGTTTGCAGTTCTTGTGGTTCGTCTGATGCTGCGGAGATGAACACAACTGCATACTAGCAAACTGATTTGCTGAGTACTATGTAGTGGTACCTTCAGATACAACTTGTAGGCGGCGACGAGGCTGGCCAAGAACTTCCTGTCGTTGCTACGGGAGAAAGAGTACTCGAACATGTCGTTGCTGCCGGTACTGATGAAGAAGATGGACTTGGAGAGGAGACTGGCCGTTCTCCTCGAGCCTGAGCTCTGGTGCATGTGCTTGACAACCGTCGCGAAGGACTCCACCTGCTGGGTCATCGGGATCACCTCACCAACCTGCACATAATGTTCACATCATGTCATACGGTTGAAATGAAAATTAATTAGTAAGTAATGCCTAACAATGTAGGAGTACCACTGAGCGGCCGGTGTGATCCCCAAGTCCGGACCCCGCTGAAGCGAAGTTGAGGCCCTTAAACATCTGTGATCTGACGGTACGCCTATTCAGGGAGAGGTACGCCGGCGGGCTCAGGGGGAACCCAAGGAATTGAGCTGTTCATCATCGAATGGTGTAACTTGTTAAGCACTGCCGATCGAGCTCGTGCTGAAGGAAGTGACTGCAGATCGAACAACTGCAATGCACGTAGTACCTAGCCGGTCTGCCGTGTTGAAGCCATTGCTGAACCGGCCGGTGGGCTTGGAGGTCGGGAAGTCCACGCCGTACTGCGGGAAGTTGGCCCTGCCCTCCTTGCGCGTGCCGCCCAGGAAGTTGTTGTTGCCGACGTCGACGGTGGAGTCGCCGAACACGAATATCGCGGGGACGAGCCGGGGCTGCCTCGCCTCGGCGTGCCTCGCCACGAGCACGAGCAGGCACAGAGCCACGACCACGTATGAGGCGGTTTGGTTAGCCATCTGGAGGCTCTGCCGCTTTGCTGTACCTGGGACTCTGTGTTCAGGTGCTGAATGTTTCATGGTACGTCATGAAGTATATATAGGTCCCAGGGAACAGAAATTACCCAGCAGTTTTCATCGAGTTTATCGCCCGCTAGCTGGTGTTTTGGAGGGTTGTCTACTTGTAATTTCAGCTGACTGCGTGTCCTCATTATGCATCTTTTAAAGAGGTTTGAAGCTGTAGAATACGGCCGTATATTCAAACGAAATCAAACAAATTTTGTTCCAGATCGTTGTTAAACAAGTCCGGGCCTGCAGAACGGTGCCCTGGCTGGAGGCCAGAGACGAGGAACCGCGACGGAGACGCCCGGCAGCCACGCACTCACAGCTGGTGCGGCTTAGGACGGACCAGCTGGATGCATGGGACCAAATCGGCATGGCCTGCGTAACTGTAGTGACACGTTTGGAGCTTGCGTTCGGATTTAGCACTAGGTAGAGCATCTGCTACCACAGGACACTCAAAATCCTTCTGGCCTGGTCATCCCACTTTGTATTTGGCGCTTCAGGCGTCACTTGCAGGCGTTTTTACAAATGGCGCACTTCAAGGGCACATAGGAAATGGGCCGGCCCATGTAGGTTGCCTTTTTTATAGAAGCTACATCATCCGGTTTTGTGAAAATTCTAGGAGCTTTTTTTGTAGGTTTTGTAAAGCTTCTAGCTGGTTTTTTTTCCTAGTTTCTGTTCCTTTTTTTCGTTTTTGTTTTATCTTCTAAAATCCACAAACTTATTATCAAACTCATGAACTTTTTCAAATTCGTGAACTTTCTGGAAACCACGAACAATTTTCAAATTCGTGAATAATTTTCAAACCCGAGAACTTTTCACCAATTCGTGAACAATGTTTAAAATCCACAAACTTTTTTAGACTCAAGTACTTTTCTCAAAATGTTTAGATTTGAAAACTTCTTTCAAATTCGTGACCTTCTTTTCAAATTCATGAACTTTTTCAATTTCATAAAATTCTTTTAAATTCGGAGAATTTTTTCAAATTCATGATAAATTAAATTTTGTAAACTTTTTAAAAATTCATGAACTTTTTGAATTTTGTATTTTTTCCCCAAATTTATTAATTTTTTTAAATTTTCTGAATTTCTTGAGATACATGGTTTTTTCTCAAAAGTCAATGGTCAATGATTAATCCGTTAAATTTTGGGTGCTTAAGGCGCCAATTAGGAGGTCTCCTTGGTCACTGTCTGGTAATGAAATTGCTATCCAAGCGGACCCCTATACGCAGCCCAAACGCCTGGGTTGTCTCGCACCCCCAAAACCTAGCCCATATATGGGGCGAATACGAGGATGCCTGGACGTATGTGTCTGCCATGTCGGACTGACGGGCAAGTCCCGCGCCAAAACACATTGGTCCGCCAGGAAAAGAATGTAAAGTTAATTGGATAAATATTCATAATCATTTGGGCGAAGTATATTAACATGCCAATCACTTCTAGACTAACCCTCAATACAAGACCAAATACAATCACTTATTGTATGTTTGCTCTATTTTACAATCTTCACAATTCAAAATTTAAGCGCAAGTATGAGTTTATGCCCTAATCAAGGCAAATAGAAAATAATGTTGGGAGTTAAAATAAGTGAAGAAGAAGAAAGTCTTGCAACAACGCAGTTGACCATTAGGACAAGAGGAAGACCTCATGATCGATATTGTGCAAGTAGTATGGATTGCCATGCAACTATGATGCACATAGAGCTATATATAAATGAAAAGCTCGCATATGAACTAATGGGGGCGCCTCCAACTTGCCTGCTCACGAAGACCTAAAGCTCATTTGCCAAGGCTCATCAATGAAATATAGAAGTCAAGTTCTATAATGTGGATTTTTCCACTAGTATATATGAAACTCATGGACTATCAACAATGAAATGCAATGAAGCTATGCTACTTTGAAGCACTTATGGAAATTTTCAACCATGAACACTTAGTGCTACTTTGAAGCATTTTATATGTGTGCTCTAAAAAGATAATGGTGTTGCTCCTTCTCTCTCACACTTTTTTGTTCCACCTTCGCACACCTTTTTTTATCCTTTCTCTCTCTTTGTTGGATCTTTATTTTCTCTCAAGCTAAAAGAAACAGTCATAATGATCACTACATTTTATTCAACTTCATCTAAATGCAAACATAGGTCTTTCTATGAACATGAAAGGATCCCTCTATATGTTGCTCTGGCAGTATACCGGGATATGCAATGATCTAGCGGAACTCGTGACAACACGATCCATAGGATTGCGGGGGATCGGTATCCTGGGTTACAAGCCCTCGCCCCGGCGACGAAGAGGAGGAAGATGGTGGTAGGTGAGAACCCCAGCTCTAGGATGATCCAGAATGTGTTGGCCCCCTAAGAAGGTCATTGTCATATGCATTGCCCAATCATTATAGCTAGCATTTCATTTTGTGGCTTTCGAATTTTTCATTATAGATATTGCCAACACGATCCACCGTGCAGGAGTCGGCCGCTCGATTCAGCCAGCGAGCGCGCGCACACTGTTAAGTAATTGGGGAAAAACAAATGATGTAAAAATACTAGAATAAATTTAATTAAATTTTAGTTCATTTGGATATACAGTACTACATACGAACCTCGAGAAGTAATTCACCTGCATTACAGTACAGAGATGGCACCATTTTGATCTTTAGATTCCACACTACGCCAGGCACCCACCTAATAATACACAAATGAAACCAGAGACGAACACCACTGTGCATACATATCCTACACACGAGCATCACCATCACAGACAGGTGAAGCAAACCTAATAACGCAGCAGACACCGACCGCGCACGCGGCCCGTGAGTGCTCTATCTAGCACTGGTCCTCCGCTAGCTGCCTGAAATTTATGGGCGCTGCGAAGTGCAGCGAGCCGTTGTAGATGGCCGCGGCGGCGAGCTTGGACGTGGCGTGCGTCGGGTGCAGCAGGTCCCAGAAGAGGTACTCGTGCCGGTTGTCGCACAGCGTGGCGTTGGGCGTGCAGCCCGACTTGCCGTTGAACTTGCCGGAGCCGCAGCACGCCGTGGTCACCTCCTTGAATCCTGCAAAAACCAAACTCGCCATCACCCTGTGAAGTCTGAACTCTCGGCCTGACGAACGCATTTGTGACGACCAGTTCCCTTATGGTAAATCAAGTTGATGTACCTAGTCTTTGGGGGTGCTTCATGATGCTCTGCACGACGGCGTGTGAGCTCCCGATGGAGTACTTGAAGCCACCCAAGCTGGCGCTGAGGCCATGCATGGCGTCCTTGACGCCCTTGTTGAGCCCACGGGTCAGCTCGTTGAGGACGTCGATACACGCACCGAGAGGGTGCAGGCTTCTCGGGTATGGGCAGCACCCGATCGGCGGGACGTCGATCACGGCCAACTTCCTCGCCCCGAGGCCGAACAGAGCCTGCCATACAGTACACGCCCATTCCGGTGAGATCTTACATCTTAGGCCCATACTGCAATAAGTACTGTAGTGACAAGAGGCTGGTAAAATATATATACCTTCACATGATTTTTGTACTGCGAAACGAGGTTGGAGGTGAACATCTGCTTCTGCGCGGCCGTCGGCGTGCTGTTAGCCGAGAAGAAGGCGAAGATGTCATTGCCGCCGGTGCTGATGACGAACAGGGACCTCGACAGCACGGTGTCGGCCGCCTCTTCGCCGATGCGCGCAGAGATGTTGCATCGCAGAGTGGCGAACTGCTCCACCTGCTTGCTCATCGAGACGATGGAGTCCCCCTGCAAGGAATCATGGCTTGAACGTTACTGAGCATGCGTAAATTAACAGCGCAGCAAGTTTACTAACTTTGAGTAGCGTCTACCATTCATGCCGAAAGCCGAATGGTGAGCTATCTCAAAAACAATGAACTTTGGGTAGCGTCTTACCGTCGTGTCAAGAACGCCTGATCCTGCAGAGGCGAAGTTTGCTCCCAGCAGCCCTCGCGTGATCTGCCTGTTGGTTCTGTTGGCCACCGAGAGGAACGGCGGGGGGCTGCGCTTGAAGCCCATGTTCAGAGCTGCCAAGGTGACACAGAATTTTGGTCACCAGTTGAATACCAAACACATGCTGCTTTAGAAATTGTATCCCATCAGAACATCAGAGTTTCAGTGGAGATTGAGTGGTTGTCATAGTTCTTGACTCGAAGAATTTTGGGATCGTCTATCCATCACGTAATAAATTTGCATCAATCACATTTATTACCGGCTGTTGGATCAGGGATGAACGGCCAGATCTCCTTATTCCTCCTCCGACCGTTCATGTTCATGTTCATGTTCTTACTTCAATCGTGCAGCCCCGCCTTCGATCCGGACCTAACCGCCTGCCACCACCTCCCGGCTATCGCCACCTCGCTCTTCCCTCGAACTCCCCCACCGCCGTGCTGGCCACTGGCCCGACCATCCCTCTAAGCCCCGCGGCACAGGTGAACAATTCCAGCGATCCCCTGCACCCCTCTCCCTACCCCTTTGATAAATAATGGGGTTATGCTTCCCTCTAAAATAGATAGTGGGGTTGTTTCTACTCTGGCGAGGTCTAGCTTCCCCAATGGGAACGAGATCCAGATGTCAGGGAAGCTACAGTACCCTGACATCCTTTCTTCACATCCATATGATTAAGCTTAAAATGACTTTGAATTAATTTGCAAATTACAAATCTACTGTATACATTTATAAAAATTACATACAAGCAAAATTATGGTGCAATAAAATTAATTTCAGATCCCCAATGCGTGCGCTCGGGATAAAGGAAGGAAGAAGAAAAAAGTAACTGATGCAACAAAAAATAGGAAAACCGAAAAAACCTCTTGCTACGAAAATCCAATGAAATAGCAGTGCAGCAAAGCAATCCATAGAATTTTTACTGTTATTTTGTAACGAAATTGCTAAATCTCAATCGACTGAGATCTAGCCATGTCATTTGTAAAGGGGAACCCTTGAACCGAAAAGGCCAAATACTGAAACAAACGCATGTCTGCAATTTGTGCATGCTCTACACTGAACGATGCTCCACCCGGGAAAAAAAAGGATACTGCTGAAGACTGTACTCAGACTGTCTCATTTATGCGCGCTGTGCAAACTCGTCAGTGGTAAGCGCCAAACGATCCACTCTCGAAAAGAAAGACCGGTCCCTTCGCTGCACTGCGGAACGCTGCCACGCTCTGCGAGAGTTGCCTCTTCGTCGCGTCGGGAAGCGAGACGCGGCCACAATGATTACGTGCAGGCCACTTTTCTCTAGCATTTGTTTTTCAACTTTTTTCTACCTTCTTTTTTGAGCGGGAACGAACCTTTTTCTACCTGTATGTTAAAATGAGGTAGCACGCCACCGGATCAAATTAGACAAAAAAAAAAACATATAATGAACTTGCTCACGATCACACATGCTAGGAACGGACGGAGGCACTAGATTCAGTTCCGGCTGGCACCCTCTCAGTCCTCTGTTTCCCATCAACTTCGCGTTTGATTCATCGTCCCCAGTGAACTGAAACGGCCGATCCATGCTCTTGTCCGCCAAATAGCGCAGAAAGACAAGCTCGAACGCTTGGCAGTTCACCAGTTGGGCAGTTATGCAGACATGGCGCCGCCGCCGTGAGCTACTCCAAGCCGGTGTAAGCTGCAGCTAAGCTAGTTTGCGACTTGCGAGACATGCAGAGAAGGGCGGATCACATTTTTCAGGGCGCGCGCCGCGCACACACGTACCTAAGAAGTCGATGCCGTTGTAGCCATTGCTGAAGCGGCCGGTGGGGCGCGAGGTGGGGAAGTCGACGCCGTTGTGCGGGAAGTTGGCCCGCGGAACCGCGTTGCCTGGCAGGTAGTTGTTGCTGCCGACGTCGGCCGTGGAGTCCCCGAACACGTACATCGCCGGCACCTTCGCTGGCGACGCCTCCGCCTCCGCCGCCGCGCAAAGGGCCGCGAGGGCAAGCAGCACCGGCACTATCCACGCCGGCGACGCCGTGGCCATGGCTGGAAGGTGGCGGCCGTCTGATACTACTCAACTTCTCTAGCCTAGAGCCGCTCGGTGCAGCACTGCGGTGTACTTGATGGCTGGCTATACCTTGTTTCTTTAGCTTTGGGAGAGGGCCGCCGAGTCTGGCAGGCTGCGCACTTTAAAGGGCGGAGATGGCAGTGGCAGGCTATAGTGGAACCCTTTAAGATCGGTAGGGTACCAATAAGGCGTGGCACGGCACTAGCGCTGGTAGTAGGAGCAGTACAAAGTTGGCTTTGGTAAAGAAAGACGCCACCGCCATGGCCCCTCGACTTGACGACGCAGTCATCGTCGACGGAGGGCTCTCGAGTGTGTATATTCTTACATGTACTACTCATGGTCTTGTTTTCTGTTGCCACAGAGGAACTGAAATGGGAAAGAACAAGAGCAGGGATGGGATGGCGATCTTGTACTACGTCGAAAGGCGCATCTCTCGACATACTTCTCCAGCCAACTTCATGATGGGTTTTTATTCCGTGATGTTTCAGTGATTCTACGTCGTAGTTCCTGTCAATCGTTTTTTTTTCGAGGGTACACCAAAAGGTGTACCGTAGCTTTACAGAAGGGGAGAAAATATGTACAAAAAAGGTTTGTAGCTAGTCACGTGGTCACAAGTCGATCCGGACATCCCCTCCACTCCAAACTCGACACTCTATGTGCTACTCAACTACATGCTCCACTCCAGTTGCTCCGGCCTGCATCCAGATGGCCAATTCGTGAAATATGGCCTCCGTCACGCCGAACACATCTAACGTATCGCTCCTATCAAAGACTCTCGCATTCCTCTGCTTCCACAAAGACCAACATATTAACATAACCACCGTGTCAAAGCCTTTTCTGCTTGTCTTGGCAATCCGCTTTCTCGCCTCGCACCACCAGTCCGCCAGGTGGGACTGCACCGTGGGGCAAAGAAGATCTACTCCGATCCTGGTGAAACAAAGAAACCACACATGTCTGGCATACACGCACTGAAGCAGGATGTGATCCACATTGTCCTCGTCCTGATCACAAAGGTAGCACGGGGAGGTTTGGTCTTGTAGCCCATGTCTAGCTCTCCTATCCGAAGTCCAAAGGCGCTATTGCACCGCGAGCCACATGAAGATCCGACAGGACAGCGGCGCCCAACATTTCCAGATGGCCGCGAAAGGGCGGAACCGAATGCCACCCATACAAAGCATCCTGTAAGCCGATGCTGCAGAGTAGACGCCGGACTCATTCCATGCCCAAATAGGAGCATCTTCCAGCTCCGAATCCAAGTGTACCTCCATAAGAAGTTCCCAAAGTCGGATGAACTGGGCAAGAGTGTCAACGTCGAGGATCCCGGTAATGTCATCTGTCCAAGCGTGCGAACAAAGCCCCTCGCTGACGAGACGCTTGTTTGCCACCTGCGTCCTGACTCTGGCAGCCACCAAGGGTGCAATCTCCGCAACTGTGCCTTCATTGAGCCATCTATCTCTCCAAAAAAGGGCGTGCTCTCCATTCCCAACACGCCATTGGACAAGACTCCGGAATGCGAGTGCCACCTGCTTATCCGCGGTGAGGTTTAAGCCCTGCCAGGGCCTAGATGGATCCGTCCTCCTAAGCCATTCCCATCTAAGCCTCAGAGCAATGTCGTGCTTGTGTAGGTCATTGATGCCTAAGCCTCCGAGCTGCTTGGGGTGGCATACTCTCCTCCAAGAAACCACACATTTGCCACCGTTTACGGCTTCCATGCCAGCCCAGAAAAAAGTGCGGCAGCCCTTATCCACTTGTTCCAGGGCCCACTTTGGCGCCTCAACAACCATGAGGTGGTGCGTTGGCCTCGCTCTCATGACCTGATTTACCAGGATAAGCCGTCCAGGCCTACTGACAAGCCCACGTTGCCAACCAGGCATGATATGGAGAGCCGCATCAACAACCGGTTGCCATTCGTTTCGCTTGAGTTGCTTGATGCTTAACTGTAGACCCAAGTATTTGCACGGGAAGGAATCGATCTTCCATGGTAGAGCACTCCTGACCAGCTCCACATCCTCCTCCTCGGATCTTATGAGAATTGCCGCTGACTTAGCATAGTTTACTTTCAATCCCGATGCCACTCCAAAGATGCCAAGAAGCTCCTTCACAAGTGGCAGCTCCTGTCTGGTCAACCTAATGTAGAACACCACGTCATCCGCGTATAGGGAGAGCCTCTGCATCGGGGTACAACTGGCAATAGGGTTGAGGATCCCTTGCTCATGCGCTTTGATGACCAGTGAGGTAAGAACATCCATTGCAATGATGAAAAGCAGAGGGGAGACCGGATCCCCTTGCCGAAGCCCTTTGGCATGCATGAACTTTGGACCGGCACAACTGTTAACCAATACTCTCGAACTGGCAGTCGTGAGCAAGATGCCAATCCAGGAAATCCATCTGACCGGGAACCCTTTTGCCCTCAGCACCTCAAAGAGGAAGGGCCACGAAAGAGAGTCAAAAGCTTTAGAGATATCAAGCTTGAGCATCACGCCTTTGGCCTTCCGTTGATGCAATCGCCATGCCATTTGCCTAACGAGCGGGAAATTGTCATGGATGCTTCTTCCCTTGATGAACGTCGATTGGTTTATGTGAACTAGCTCTCCCATCCGTGGACCGAGCCTATTTGCCAAGAGCTTGGAAGCGATCTTCGGCAGGCTATGCTCAAGACTTATAGGGCGGTAGTCAAGAGTGGTTGAGGCCTCCGGGTTTTTTGGAATTAAGGTGATCAACGTTTGGTTCAGCCTGCCAAACCCGCGTCCGTTTCCAATGAAAAGCTTGTGCAAAGCCGCGATGACATCCACTTTTATGATCGCCCAGGCTTTCTGAAAGAAGAGGTCGATGAAGCCATCCGGCCCCAGGGCTCGATCCGCCGGCATGCTCCTGATCACCGCCCAAATCTCCTCGTGGCTGAAAAGAAGATCCTGATCCGACAAGTCAAGTCTAGTAATGTCAAGCTTGTCCAAATCCAGGGTGTACTCACGAGCGACGTCCTTCCCAAGCAACTCCTTGTAAGTGTCGTAGAACGCGGCCTCCTTTCCAGCTTGGTCCGTGACAATGCGCCCATCTACCAAGAGAGACGGAATATAGTTCTTCATCCTTCTACCATTCGCAACCAAGTGGAAAAGCTGTGTATTTGCATCCCCCTCCCAAAGCCAAGTGATGCGCGATCTCTGGCGAGAAATCGTTCTCTCCAGCGAGGCGAGGCCAAGGACAAGCTGTTTGAGCGATCTTCTGAGCCACCTCTCCTCCTCCATGAGCACCCGATACTCCTGGGCACGATCGAATCTCAGGATGACAATGTTGGCCACAACCAATTGCATCTTGATGTTGCCCACTCTCTTCTGGCCCCAAATCGCGAGTGCTTTTGCCGTGTTTCTAAGGAGGATGTCAAGTCTCCTGAACGGGTCCGTGATTGTCTCATCACAAGTCCAAGCCTCCTGCACCACCTCCAAGAATCCATCCATCTTCACCCAAAACTTCTCAAAACGAAACCGCCTCCGTGGCCCCATGTGATCGTCCAATGCCAAGTGAAGGGGGCAATGGTCTGAAATTGCCGTGGACAAAGCCTATAGGAGGCACCCGGGGTGGTCGAGCTCCCAGTTAATGGATACAAAAGCGCGGTCGATCTTAGTCATCGTGGGGTTCTCGCGCTCATTGCTCCACGTGTAGTTGCGCCCGTGTAGGAAGAGCTCCTTGAGAGCATTATCGTCAACGAAGCCTTTGAACCGTCTCATCATGCGCCTATTGATCAAAGAGTTGTTTTTATCTTGCGCGTGGAGTATTAAGTTGAAATCTCCAATAAGTAACCAAGGCCCAGGGCACAACGATCTATGCTCCGCCAAGTCATGCAGAAACTCAATTTTCTGCTCATCTTCCTGAGGGCCATAAACCACAGTCAGCCACCAAGGTGGACCCCCCACAGGTGACACGTAACTGGAAATGGAGTGGGTGTCATTGACATGGTTAGTCAATTGGACCCTGGTGGAGTCCCATGCAATAAAAATCCCACCCCTAGTGTTAGACATCGGAAGATAGGTGTAGCCATCGAAATTAGGCCCCATACATTGCATAATGGTGAACTGATCCACCCTCTCCAATTTGGTCTCCAGGATACAACAAATCGCCACATGCAACGAACCTACAAATTCACGTAAGGTTTTCCTCCTAGCTGGCCCATTTAGACCACACACATTCCAACAGACTAACTCCATCCCTGCGTACGACATGACAAACGATGTCTCCATGTCGACGAGCCCCTCTACAACTACACCATGATCGGTGCAGCCATCTCCGTGTCAGCTCCAAGGTCTAGGGGTATCGCCTTCCCAAAAATGGCTGCGATCGCTCTAAGCTGAGGTTCCTGGAGCGGTGAGTCAAAGACCATGCGTAGCTGCTCTAGCGCATCATCAAAGACCGCCAGATCGTCGCAGGCAAAACCCAAGGCCTTTAGTAGAACCGTTTCTGCAGCCGATGCCTTAGACTTCATCTTCTGCCCAGTAGCACGCCCAGACCTGGTGGCACGTCGCGGTGTGAAAGCGTCCTGGCCAACGCGGACTCCACTGAGCCCTTCAAACTCCTTAAGCAGCGGCGGGGCGAGTTTCTTAAGAAGACCTGCGCAGAAGGTCTTGATGTTGCCGATGGCGATAATCTCCTTGTTGGACAAAGGCGTGGCCAACGCGCCAAAATTTACCTTATCCAGCTGCGTCCCAGCAATTTCAGGCGCCTCCTCATGCATGCATGCATGGTACGTAGTCACCTCCGCACCAAGGCCCACGGGACCCAACTCCTGTAGCGCTTCGGGATCCGTTTGCCCCCCATCCTTGTCCTGTGGCGCGGGATCCACCTAGGGCGCTTCGGGATCCGTTTGCCCCCCATCCTTGTCCTGCGGTGCGGGATCCACCTCGGGCGCGGCGTGCAGGGGACCCGAGGCTGGGCCCCTCTCGCCTGCAACGCACGGCACCAACCGACTGGGTTCTGCCCGCTCC